AAACCAGACGCAGACTCAAGTCGACATTCTCCAGACGACATATACAGATGTGCAACAAGTGCATGAAGAGGTTCTCCGCCCATTCATCAGCGGGGAGGTGCAGACCAAAGCCACAGTAAGGTGTCACCTCGCCCCAGATACGGTGGCCGCTATTAGAAAATACGGACAACAGTAGGTGCTGGTCAGGGTGTGGAGAGCTTGGGACCCTTGCAGCTGCACACAGGCTCAGCTGGGAGGGCAGTGGAGGGAGGAAACCGGAACTCGTGCGCCGTGAGTGGCAGTGTTGAATAGCTGCATGCGGTATAGAAAACTTAGAAAAGTACACACAGAGGGTGGGTGCTCGGCCTAGTGGTTGAGAGAACGAGCTCCTGTCCGCTCGTTCACTTCACAGATGCCCACAGTGACTGCCCCGGGCGGGACCAGAGCCAGGAGCCAGGAGCTCAGTGCAGGCCTCCATGTGGGTGGCAGGGCCTGACTGCTGAGCCACCCCCTGACGCGTCCCAAGTTTCAGGACAGCAGGAAGTGGGGCACATTCTGCTGTGGGGTGTGCAGGAAAGAGGAGAGCGTGCGGGTTCTGCAGAGTGAGCCCGTGACCGGGGAGAGCTGGGCTCCCCGGGCCACCTGCACCGTCCCCTGTGCTCTGCGTGTGTTTTGGTACAGGTGGGGAGAGGCAGTTCTGTGCTGCAGCTGCCCCTCTGTCTCCCCGCTCAGCGCTCAGCGGCTTCTCCTTGGTAGCTTGAAGTTGCCAGCAAGCGAGTATTTGCACCCCAGGCATTGGTGGGTGCTGCACGCCGAGTCCCTGGGTGCTGTTTAGAGAGCCCGTTGTTAAGCTCCTGCCATCAGGACTCCGGGGTGATTCTGCCTCACTGGGTGACGGGTCCTTCCTCATCCGGCCTCATCTCTGGACCCAGGCCAGGAAGTTAAAGACGGCCTGGGGGAGAAAGGCGGTGATTGGCAGGCACAGCGCCCCGTGAAGGGCATCTCCGTGAGGACTGCGTCTCCGAGTTCCCCCCTACGCGTTCCGTGAGTCACATCTAATGTGTTTGCAGCACGGTGCTGGTCCAGGAATGTGGAGGTCCATGGTGTAAGTTCCCACCTTCAAGGAACTCGAGCCTAATCATAGTTACCAATAAAAACAAGAGCTACCACTCCTTAACCCCGGGAGTTTCAGGAATTGTCATTATCACAGTTGGGTGACTCTCCCATTCATGTAACAAAGGGTTCATAGTCAGTTATGAGACATCGCAATACACACTACTGGCCTGACCAAAGACGCGCATTTGTATGGGTTTAAGACACTGCAGGTACAGTGAGATATCACCAGTTTAGACTCACATAGATCAGTGTGAATACAGATTTTTAAAAATGTGTGCTGTCACTCTGTTTTTGTAGATGGGATAGGCCAGAGGAAGCTAACAAGGGTTTAGCAGCTGAAATGCCCTTTGCAACGTGATGTGAGAGTGATTTTTAATCACATTTTAATCACTGTACAAGAATGGAGTTCTGAAATGCTTTTAAGGTGCTTTTCTTGGACAAAGAAAGCGGTTCCACCCATGTTTACATAATTAATTTTTGGCTTCCCAAACCAAAAAGGCAGTGCAGAGCCTGCTTGTTGGCAGCGGGAGCGTCCCGAGGTGCTGCAGTGGTGCCTGTGCTGTGTTTGTCAGTTTGCCAGGAACCTGTGGTGCGGCGTAAAGACGTGTCTCTCCCCAGCCCCTCCGCGGCCGGACCGCTCAGCAGTGGAAGGAGCTGCCGGCGCACACCCACCTGCTGGATGTCCAGGGCAGACCCGGGAGGCTGCATCCTGCATGACTGCACAGTTCCATAGAAGGCGTCATCCTCAAAATGACAAGATTCTAGGGACAGGGAATCGTGGTCTCGGGCTCGCAGAGGGCTCGGGACTGCAGTGGAGGGGCAGCCTGAGGAGGTCCTCCCGCACTGGGAGTCCGTCTCCATCTCTCCTGCTTGATTGGATCCATGCGGCTCGAGGGCGTAGAAGTAGACGCACACAGTGTGCCCTCGGTCCTTGCTGCGGTCTGCTTCTGTATCGCGTTTGCACGGGCTGTAAGTGGTGTGGAAACTGGGTGAAGGGTCTTTGAAACGTCCTGCCTGGGCTTCTACAGTTATTTCAAAATAAAAAGTTCTCTTTTTTCAATCTCTGGCTCTAAGACGTTTTGCAGCACGAAGTCCCCTGCTGGCAGTGGGGGCAGGGGTGCAGAGGGGCAGGGAGGCACGAAGCGTGTACGCGGGGCACATGTGTGTGCTGGGAACGTCGGGAACCACGCACGTGTGGTCCCACGTAACCCTCGACTTGTGACTGGAAGCGGGATCTTTCTGTCGGGTGAGAACTTGCCCAGGGGGTCGGAGCCCTTAAGCGCAGAGCGGCCGTGCTGGGAGACCACTGGAGCACGGACCGGCACAAAAGGGCGTGGCCTCGGATACATCAAGGGACACAGGACGCTGATTCCGGAATGAAGTCAGAGGCCTGTTGAGCGTCTCATTCCTGATCGGAGAGGGCTCCTTCGCAGTCTGCCCTTCTGGAGCGACGGACCGAGGAGGAGGAAGCGTTGCAGGGTCGCCTGCCTCTGGACAGCATCTCCCGGCCAGCCAGGAGCAGCCTGGGGCTCTCAGCTGACCCCAGCACCTTCCCCGCAGGGGCTGCAGTACTCGCGGTAACGCCGTCACCCTGGGCTGGCTTTTGTGGAGCCGTGTGGTAAGAGTAACAGATACCATGCGATGGTTAAAATAATACGGGGCTCAGCAGCCGCCGCCTTCTCCATCAGCCGGTCTCCCAGAGGTGCGTCCACAGCCCAGCTGTGACAGGACCCCTGCACGAGTGTCCTCTGCAGTAGCACAGTGAAACAGCGACGTGCCGGCCCGGGCACACCCAGCAAAGGACGCACGGTCCCACTGCCTCATGGGAAAGACGCGGAATCTCCAGTGTCCAGGGTTCCACCACTGCTTAAAATACCCTTGGTGTGGGTCCGAGTCATTTGGGTGAAAACCGATGTGCACTGCCTAGAAGACGTCTCTTGGCCAGACCTTTCTCGTAGGCAGCGGGATCAGTTGATAAGGGAGAGCTGGTGCCCTCATTCCAACACTGGGCAGGTGGCGCCCTCTAGTCGTCCACGTGAGAATTACTACCTGTCAGGCGCCTTCGAGGACGTCCGGGTGTCTGCACTACAGACAGAAGTATTTAGACCGCTGACGCTGTCCTTCCTGAACTGTGGGGAGGTTGCTGAAGTCCCAGCTTCCGTGGGCATTAGTTTCGGAAGTGCCAGCCAGGGCTGGGCTTTAGCAGTCCCCAGGAACCTCGGAGACCTCATTCTCCGTGTCAGACTGAACACATTCCACCTTTCCTTCCAGCCCCTCCTGGGCCAGTGTTTGGGGAGCAGGATGAATGTGAGGTCTAGTTAGGAGAAAGGGTGCCAGACACGGTCACCGTTGGCAGCCTGCCCTCCAGCGTGCCACAGTGCGTGCTGACGGCCGCCGCCGCGAGCCGGCTGACGTGCAGGGAAGCAGGTTGAGCAGGCAGAGGGGAGAGATGCGCACGCATAGCTGCATTTTCACAATGAGGAGTTCCAGAGAGCCTGCTCTTCAGACATCCACGAGGTGGATGCACAGAGGTGGCATGTCACAGACAGCTGAGACGAGCGCGTGTGCCTCTGTGTGTCTGACGCATGCCATTCCCGATCCTATAGAGGGAGTACGTGGGGTTTTGACAGACACGCTCACGTGTTGTGCGCCGTTTGATTTATGTAAACTCATTTCAGGTGCAGCTACAGGGTCCCTTCCAGATGAGAAATGCCTGCCTGGGCCGATAAAAATACATGTGTGTGGAAGGCTACAGTCTTAAGAAGGGTTTTACGTGATGCAGATTTGTAACTCTACAAAATACCTTAAAAAAAACCTTCTGGATGACTTTGTTTTCCACGTTTTTGTATGAGTTTGGTTGTTTACCTAAGAGGAGTCTGTCCTGCTGTAACTCGTCTGTGTGGTGGAAATTCACTTCTCTGGGGTTGATCCGCGGGGACTGTGGCTCTAACACAGACACGGGGCTGCTGCTCAGAGGCAGCCCCTCCCACAACTCTCATCACACAGATCGTCCCGGACAAGGGGGGGCCCTGCTGCCCACGGTGCCCGCCCACCCCTCCTCGTCCTCCTAGGGCAGATGGGCCTTGCACGAGAGAGTGGCTCATCCCTGCATTCCTGCTCTGGGAACAGGCAGCACTGCTCTCACAGGGCCGCACGTGCGCCCCCTGCTGTCCTGTCCCCCGTGGCGACGTGCAGTCACGCAGCCGCGTCTCGAGGGTGGATGTGATTTGCCTTGTCACCACGCTTTGTGTTTAACCATGTTCAGTATGCGCGAGTGTGGACATCGCTTTTGTTGGTGTTCTCGGGATAGAGGCGCAGGTCGGCCTGCCCGGAGTCATCGTCCTGGGGTTTTTGTTGTGTGGTGTGGAGGCCGTGCTAGGAGCAATAGGGCTTGCACAGCACTGATTCACGGCGTGCCCCACGCAGAACTCCTGTCTCGGCTCTGGACTCCCTCCTGCCCCCAGGCACCGAGGGAGGAAGCCCCTGCCTACTGCAGTTGTCTGTTGAATCTTTCTGGGCCCGGACACGCACTGCGCCCTCTGTGCCCTGGGCCCAAGGCTCGGCGCGCCCCCGCGGCATGGGGAGCCGGTGAGAAGCGCCCCGTGGGCCTGCACGGCAGAGTAATGCCCTCGGGGTCGTCTTCCGTGTGTTCTGTTTGATTCTCTGCAGTTGTCGCTTTTTGCTGAGAGGAGGAGCCGCCTTTTCAGGACTCCTGGACAGGCTTGGGGGGCGGCGTGCGGGGGTCCCTCTGGCTGGAGTGCACACATGGTGCCTCACAGTGGGGCTGAGACCGCGCTCTCAGCGCCATGCGCTCCCGGGGGGAGGCCCCGTGCGCCTTCCACGGATCCTGTGGGCGCTTTCTCTTGCAGACCATCCAGTCTGGTCTTCCCTCTTCTGTCTTCCAGCCGCGGGTCCAGACTTTTCAAGGACGCTTCTGAAGAGAGTCACTCTGGTCCGAGTGGGCGGGGAGGCCGCCATCGAGTGCAACCCCAAAGCGTCGCCGAAGCCCGTGTACACCTGGAAGAAAGGACGCGACGTGTTGCGGGAGAGCGAAAGGTAACCGTGTGGGCGGGCGCCGTGCGGTCGGGTTCTGGTCAGCCTGCAGGCGGCCCTGGGCGGGCGTTTGCTTCCTGCTCCCCACTCTCGGGGTTGGCCAAGACTCTCGGGGTTGGCCAAGGACGGACACTGTAGGGGTGCCGCGTTCCGCATCAGGGTGCAGGGAGCCACCCTGCAGGGGTGAAGCCGCACCTGCCTGCGGGCGAGCAGGGGGCGTTTCTTCCCAGAGGTCCTCGCCTCTGCCTGTCCTCTCGCCCTTGCGTGCAAGCCCACTCCGCTTGGCTGTGACCCGGCCTCAGGTGTGGGCAGATCTGTTCGTGTCTCCCGCTCTGACTCTGAAGCGCTGCGTCCGCTCCCACAGCTCATTCTGCAGACACAGGATCCGCCACTCGCTTTCGCGTGGTCTGCTTCGTCTGTGTGACAGCACAGGGTTTCCTTCCTTACCTGACGCCGTCATCTTCGTGTTTCCTGTTAGGCTTGAATTACGTTTGAAATGCGCGTGGTTCCGCCCAGCGTGGGCAGGTGTGGGCTCTTTGGAATGCGTGTCAGGCGTCCCAGTGGCTCGTCTCAGACCGCTCGTGCCTGCCGTCCCTGTAAGAGATCCCCTGCTTTTCTTTCTTCTGTAATCCAGTCGGTTGGAAAATGGTAATTCTGCAGCAGTCTGCTCGTGGCCCAGAGACAGGATTCCCCCGCAGTGTACACGAGGAGTGTGTAGATGCTGACTCAGGTTGCCAGAGGGGCAGTAAGGAAGCTGTGAAGGTACGCACAGATGTACGCGCGACACGTGTGCACCGCGGTGTTTGAGTATACAAATTGGATCATTGCGCTGATGGAGTCCTTTACAGAAATCTTTGCAAATAAAGCCAATAGGGTTTATAGATTATTTACGGACGTACTGAGTTCATAATGTGCATCTCTCTGTTGCTAGTTTGTCCAGAAAACACTACAGTTCGTTGCTGGCTTGACATCCACCTGGAAAGTGAGGGCAGTTTTCATTTTACAGGCCGCATCCTCAGGTTCGTTTCCTTTTCTGCCTCCGTGTCTCCCAAAATGTGGTCTCTGGGTTGTCTGTAATAGTCGGGCATTTACCTCGAACATCATCGAGTCCAGCTGGCTGGCACATGTGTGGCTTGCAGCAACGCTACGTTTTTAAAGTTCTAAGTTAAAGATGATATAAAGAAAAATACCAGGAAAAAAGTTAACGTGGGCGGTAGACATGTCGAAACACATGGATGAAGGAAATGAGAGTGATATTGTAGGTCGGTGGGGAGAGAGGAAGCTGTGCTGTGGCAAACCCTGCGGAAGCTTAAACAACACAAGGCAGTACCCCTCCCGCTGCCTGCCCTCAGGGGTCTGCTGGGGGCTCCGCTGCCCTCCAGGCCAGGCCTGGTGCACCCACACTCTGCAACATTGCCTTGTGAGGGGCAACAGGGCCAGGCACGCACGCCTCTCACAGCCTGGAAGCCCGCACTTCACCTGGGCACCACTGCGTTGGCCACAGGTCACGCTGCCCTGCACCCAGCAGGTAGGCACGGCCTCACCGTGTGCCTGGAAGAAAAGACACAACCTGGTACTTCCTGCCGCGTCGCCACTGCTCGCCGCTGCTGTGGCGTGGCCGCTACTGCATGCTGACTAAGCTGCCCTGGGAAAATGGCATGGCACCCGGCCACCCCCAAACACTCTGTGATAAGTGAATTCAGTCCGTGGTTTCCACCCCGTCCGTGTTCGTTCTTTCTACTCCTGAGTGGGTGAAGAGGGCTCAGGTAGGCTTCAGAATTTACTTGGCACTGGACCGGCGCCGCGGCTCACTAGGCTAATCCTCCACCTTGCGGCACCGGCACACCGGGTTCTAGTCCCGGTCGGGGCTCCAGATTCTGTCCCGGTTGCCCCTCTTCCAGGCCAGCTTTCTGCTGTGGCCAGGGAGTGCAGTGGAGGATGGCTCAAGTCCTTGGGCCCTGCACCCCATGGGAGACCAGGAGAAGCACCTGGCTCCTGCCATTGGATCTGCGTGGTGTGCCGGCTGCAGCGCGCCAGCCGCGGCGGCCATTGGAGGGTGAACCAACGGCAAAGGAAGACCTTTCTCTCTCTCTCTCTCTCTCTCTCTCTCTCACTGTCCACTCTGCCTGTCAAAAAAAAAAAAAAAGAAAGAAAGAAAGAATTTACTTGGCACTAAAAATCTGTTAGAATGTAGGACACTCACGACCTCGGGCCTGCCCTAGGCTGAGCTGGGTCAGGCGGGACAGACGGGAATTCTGGCCTGCAGAGACGCTGGCTGCTCCACCGTGTGCAGACACATGCAGGCCGGCGGCCTCCCCGTCTTCACCTTTGCCAAGGGAAACTCAAAATGTGGACGTTGCTCTAAGCTCCAGCCACTGCTGTTCCGGTTTCAGCGTGAGGACAACACGGGCGTCCACACACAGGCGCGTGCGCTCTGGGCTCGCAGGCTTCTAGGTTCTGAGGCAGACTCAGACACAGACACAGCTGGGCTCCTCGTTTATGGAAAGAAAGGAGGAAAGACGTTGGAATGGTTTCCTGGTCAGAGGGGAGGCATTCTGCCATTCTCGGAGGAAGAGGATCACGGCTGGGCGACCCCAGGCGGGATTTGCGGGGAAAACTTTAGAACCCGCGGTGAGGAAAGGGTCGACGTGATAGGGCGACGTTGTCTGGGTCTGCCCAGGGCCAGGGAATGATTCCTGTTTCTCCTTTAGATAAAGAATCTTATGAACCAAAATATCAAGTTTTAGCATTGAAATGAAAACTCTGTTAATCTCCTAGGTACAAACTACTAGCTCCACACAATGAAACCAAACCGTGGTCAGCCCCGCTGTACGTCGTAGGCCTGTGTGGGGAAGGATTTGCCAAACTCTGCTGACCGTGGGATATTTGATTGGATTTAAGCCAGTCAGCTATCTACAAACAAGTTTACAGCGAACGTTTAAGAAGTGAGATTGTAGAAATCGAAACGTTTTTGTCTTGTTTAGTCACGTGGTGATGTACTCAGCTCAGTGGATATACATTCAGAAACACTAGTTTAATGGTAGCTATTAATTATTTTTTAAAATACGCTCATATGTGCTTGTTCGGGTTTTTGGTTGGACTAGAAGTTGCAAGCGCGTTGACACCGGCCTGGTCTGTATCAAGCTAAGCATCTAAGAGGGAAGACTGAGGGTTCGCAGCGTTGTTCTGGGGGAGCAGGTGGCACATATACAAGGGGGACTCGCAGGTGTGTGATGCTTGCCCGGCCGTGGGAGGGCGGATGCTGCCAGACAGCACGGGGAAGAGCGTGGCAAAGCCGGGGGCCTGAGTCCCTAGGAGAGACCCTCAGCCACCAGGCAGGCCCAGGCACGCGGGTAACCAGACAAGGAAAGCTCCCACCTGCAAGAGGGCGGTCACTTTGCTACCTTCTTGCTTTTAGACTTGCTGGAGGAAGTCAGATTAGGGCTAGACAGTTAGAACTGAAAGTCTCAGAACAGAGAGATGGGGCAGGCGTTTGGCATAGCCATGATAGCGCTGCTTGGGACACGCGTCCCTGGGTTCGAGTCCTGGCTCCTCTCCCAAATGGAGCTTCCAGCTGATGCACACCTGGAAGGCAGTGGTGATGGCTGACGTTCTGGGCCCCTGCCACCCCCAGGGGAGGCCTGGCTCAGTCCAGCTCCTGACTTCTGCCTGGCTCAGAACCGGCTGTTGCAGGCATCTGGGGAATGGATCAGGAGATGGGGAGTCTCCGTCTGCCTTTTGAGTAAATTCAATGTTCAATTTAAAAGGTAGAAGAATCATAAAACAGTCTACATTCCTAGAATTTACAGGGACTTAGAAAACCGTCCTTCAGCCGGGACGGGCCACGCAGCTCCCAGTGCAGGAAAACCAACTCAGAGCTGGCCTGCGTGCTTGGGGCTCATTGGCTCACGTCCCTGAGAAGACGGGGTGTGGGGCCTGGTGCTGGGCGTGGCTGGGCCCCCGCCCCCCTGTCACCCACGCCTTTGGCTGTGCCGGCCTCAGTCTGCAGCAGGTGCTCTCAGGATGACCGCCGGCCGCCCCACGCCTGCCGCTCTTCCAGCGTGTCCCAGGAGTTCCAGGTGGGGTCCCGGGGGTAGGCCGGCCTGCCTCGCTGCGGGTCCCCTCTGGCCAGGCCCAGGCAAGGAGCGTGTGTGGTGTGCATTGTGCAGGTGCTTATCCCAAGGGGCCTGTGCAGAAGCATGGGGTCCGGTGCTGTCCCTTGGAGAAGAGGGGCAGACCCCCGGCCCAACCCGCACTGTGACCTGCAGCCTGCTCTCACACGTGCGCACGCGCACACACCGCCCGACATCTAGAATGGCAGAGGCCGCCTGACGTGGGAACACGGTGTCCTCGCCCGCCTCCTCTCCGTGGGCCTCGCTCTCTGAGCTCTGCTGACCACAGCAGCTCCTCACCCTCCTGTCCCCCCACTGCAGGCTGCTCTCATGTCCTCTTCGTTTTTAAGCTTTGTGAAGCCGAACGTCCCTGTTGCGGTCGGTTCCTTCCATGCTTTCTGAGCGGTGCCATGCAGGGTTCAGAGCGCTCATCCATCTCTGCAGGACTGGGGTCTGTGTTACTGTCCAGTGCCTTCTCTGAAGAGGGAAAATGACCTTCAGGGAGCTTCGATCGGATGTGAGGCAGCCGAGCACGGAACACCTCGTTCTGACCACCTCCCGCCAGTGGTCATTTTAAAGAATTAACCAAAAGCTTAAAGGTGGGGGAGAGGGGTTAGTTGTCTGGAAAATTCAGTTAGATGACGCAGTTTACTTCTCACTGAAGCCGAAGGCACGTGGCAGACATCAGTGTGGCCACTGCTGTGTGAATGCCGCGACCGCCCTCACTCGAGAGCCTGTCCTCCAGTCCAGATCTTGGTCCCTGGTCATAGTGAGGTGTGGGGTCTGGGGGTGATAGGTGTGGGGTCCGTGGGTAATAGCGAGGTGTGGGGTCCATGGGTAATAGGTGTGGGGTCGGTGGGTAGTAGTGAGGTGTGGGGTCCGTGGGTAGTA